TAGCAGCGGTACACACACGCATTTTGAAGCAAGTATTGCCTTTTTGGTAAAAAAAAAAAAAAAAAAAAAAACAATAATTGCAGTGTATTTATATGAGCAAAGGGGAGTAACAGCACATCTACTTATTTGGTCGTTTTTTGCGGTGACTTTTATGTGCCAAGCAAACAGCTGTTTTTAATTCTGTATGGCGAGTAAATAGATTCTCGATACTGGAGTCGGAAAGTCCCAGAAAGATTAGCATTATGTCCGTAGTGTCTGGCGGTACTTAGGAAACAACAATTTCACATGGTACTCTTATGAACAGGATAGACAGACTGAGCTTTAACCTTTGTATAAATGATATGAGAGTAACACCAACAATATGTCACCGAAACTAGCAAGCAATTCGGGGAAAAAATGTCGATTGATATCATCACTCTGCTCGTTGCAAAATAAAGATTCGATTACGAATCCTAAAACCCAACAATCTTAACCTTCGATAGCCTCCTTTTGAGACTTACAAGCAACATAGATTAATCAAAAGTTTAGAAATATAAAGGAGATCTGGTTGACATTTGATGCTATCAAATGATTCATTCTAGTTCTTCATTTGCTCGTCTTTTTACGCACAGATCTGATACGCCAAGACTTTCCCAAACACCTATATGGGAACTTCCAACGATACGATATCTATCGTTATTCCATTATGTGTAAGCTAATGAGACGACTTTTACTAACCATTACTGACGACTTGTTCCTTGCACTTTACACAGGCTTTATGGACTCACACTAGTAGACGACTTCTACAGAAGCGAAGATTAAAAAGTTGTGTGTAGTTCTTGTTGTAGTTGTTGCTACTAGCCGGCATCACTTGGGGTATGGACAAAGAAACCTTGTTGGCTACCTATAAAACAATTGGCCAGTCAGTGGTCAATTATGCTGCTTCAGTATGGTCTCTCCTTTGCTGAGTGATACCCAGCGGAGAAATATTCAAAGCTGCCAAAATTCTGCCCAACGGACTGTAACGGGCTGCATGCAAATAACCTCGGAGCATCACCTACACGGGGAAACGTTGGCCCTCCCAGTCAAGGAACATAATGTCATGCTGACTAAAAAGTTCCTCCTGGGATGTCACCGGAGGAGACATGTTGCTTAGTTTACAATCCTTGCACGTTGTTCCTTGAACTCTGGGTTGTTGAGTGGCAACGTTTAACCCAGGTAATCTACATTGCTTTATCGTTAAGGAGGATCCTAATCATTTTATTTTCTCATTCTACTTTTAAAGTGTCAATGGGTTCTAAAACTGATCTCCCTCAATTATTTCGCTTTCTAAAACTTTTTAAATTAAAAAAAACTGACCTTACTAATAATAATAAAACAATTCAATAAAATAAATAAAATATTCTATAATAAAAATAAAACTTAAGCCTACACACAAATTATATATAAATAGAACAGAAAATAACAGCAAAAAAACAACGTATATATTTCAAAACAACTTAAATGCTATGAATAGATTAATGACTTTCTCAAATGAAATGATAATATTTTTTTTTTGCATTAAATATATAATGTAGGAAAAAAAACACAATTTTTATTATTGTTTATGAATAATAAAATACAAAATAATAAAACACAAAAGAATAATAAAAACAAAAGTATTTCATTGAATAAATATGTTTAAAAAAATAAATATAAAAATACAACTAATATCTTAATTTGTCTACATGTAGTTGTTGGTACTTGGATGAAAATTTTATATAAAAAAAAATTATGAATGAATAAATGAGTAATAAATAATGATTCCACAGTCAAGAGTGTAGAGTAGATTAGTTGTATTTTAAAGGCAAAACTATATAGTAAATATAAAACAAAAACTGTGCCACGCGACAATAACCAACAACAAAAATATCAGATTTTATTTTAGTCTGTAAGAAAGACTAAAAAAATATCCCATGGAGAAAAAGAAAAACACATACAATTTGCAAGTGTAGCGGGGGTTTAGGTATTTTAACGTTGTTTGGTATTAAATTTACAACTCAAAAATGAATGAAAAGAATGTCTTATAATAAGTTGTATTAGGTTTAATGGCTGGTACGTTGCACCATGTAGAAAATATTTCAAGACTCTTTAATTTTTTAGAACTAGTAATAAAAAGTATTAGACAAAAAGAGCTCTAAAACATCTCTGGAAGTTAAAGAAGTTATGCTCTTCAAAATATAAACTTTTTGGGTTATCATAATGGATTTCATAAAAAAAGGTCTCAACAATCTAGGTTTTCATATAAACAATTTAAAACATAACTCTTTCCACAATTATAAAACAACGCCAATCTAAATATAACGCAAAAAACATCATCATCATCAACAATTTGTTAAAAATAAACCAAACAAAATTTAGCCGCCAAGACAGAAAGACAGACAGTTAGTCAGTTCCATTTATAAACTGACACATATAAAGCAACCATAACCACAACAAAAAAATGTTGAACATACCAAAGCGACCAATAAACAACATATTCTATTCACTTTTTAAAGTTCTATAAAGTGTTCTGGATTTATTTTATGCTTGAATGATGTGAGGATGTCGACAACAGAGTTAAAAAAAAGGAAAATATAAACAACCAAAGAAAAACACCGGTATTTTGGTTGTGCAAAGCATTTTACTTCCGTGCCATAAAAAGTATGGAAGTTAATCCGAAAAGTTGTTTGATAATTGACGAGATTTTGTTAATGATTTTAGTTTGAAGAACTACTACTCAACCGCAATCAAAGATAGTACAAACTGTCATAAGATAAAATGTAGTAGATGTCTTTACTAAAGTATGGGAAGTCTATCGGGATAAATTATGAAAGGAAACACTAGATATATAATAAACAGTTAAGATGGTTTGGCAAATGATAAGGAGGAACAGGAGCTCAATAAAACATTACAATTAAAACATTACATTGACTTAACAAGTCCCCTCTCCTTACTTGTTTTTAAAAGTCTTCATTGAATGTCCCTGAGGACAATCATTCCAAAAACGTTTCGAATGATTAAGCAGATGATAAACCAATAATAGCTCAACGAAACATTTTGTTGGTTTCTCCTAATATCCACATCTTTTTAAAAACTTCTTCATTGTATGAATGAGATCAATTAATGCTCGCTCAAACCTCATTACTGTCCAATCTTTGGAAACAATAAGACATTTCGATTTGATATTTAAATGTTATCGATGGAGTGCAAGGAAAGTTAAGAATTGGCTCAAACATTTTAAAAGGGATTTTACAATTAAAATGTTTGGAATGTTTAAATCTACTTCACAGATATCTGGAATCTCCAATTCGCGACCCGTGAGTTGAAGCAATCGAGATTTTTGATCTATTGGAGATAATAAGAAAACTGTGCTGGACTAGAACAGAAGTTTCATTCGAGGCATGTATAAATTGCCTAAAGTAGGGCGTTTATCTGGAAAACTTTCCAGATAACTAGATTCCCTAAATAACGACTCATAAGTTGAAACTATTGAGTAAGATATTCAATAGCTATAATATCAAGTTTCTTCAGCATTAACATAGACATGCAGTCCAGATCTAGAGCTCTAAAGTGGTTTTCAATTGGAGAAAATCTGAAGAATTTTACAGATATCTGGAATCTCCAATTGATAACATATTCCATATCGAATGTAGAGAGTTTTTTCAGGATTATCATAGGGTGCTATCCGTAGCTAGACCTTTAGAAGTTTTATGCAGGAGTTAATAAGAAAACTAGCCTGTATGAATCTCCTAAAGTAACGCATTTATCCGATTTTTTATAAGATGAAATGTAGACAACTTTTTTAGTGTTAATTTGAACTACTTTACTGATATCAGGAATCTCCAATTGGCGGCACGTGATTTACAGAAATCCTGACTTATCAAAGCAAGTTCCTTCAGCATTAACATAGATATGCTGCTATAGCTTTTGAAGATTTTAACTTTTACTTCAGAAGTTAATAAGAAAACGATGCTGAATGAATCTTGTCTGATTTTGCGAGTAACACTTAATAATACACCAGAACTATTTATACACTATTGTTCACTGATAGCACTTTTTCAGTCTGAACTCGTAAGTATTTATTTTTATGCACAATTTTGTTTATATATAATTTTTTATTTTACCACTTTTGCTTGACAAAATGAACGGTCTGGTCTTTTTTTTTTTTTTTTTTTGACGGTCTGTTTATATCAGCTGTTTTCTTATTTATTTTTATATAAACCAACATACTTTCATACAAACATATAAAAGTATTTTTTATTATTGTTTTGAATGAATTTTTAGCATGTTATAGTGTTGTTTGCGATTAACCAATTTACATTTATGTACATACATACATAAATAAATAAATAAGTACGTGTGTATATTTAAATTATATGTGCACATTTAGTATGTATATAAGTATGTAAGTATGTGAATATAATATACAGACGTCTCTAGTTGTTGTTATTTTTATTATTATTGGAGACGTCAAACAATGAGAGTATCAGAAGAAGAAAAAAAAAAGAATAACATTGATATGAATGTGTGTTTGTGATGATGTTGATGAAGAGGTAAGTTTGGGTGTTTGTTTATATTTCTACATACAGAATCATCATCAGTAAACACTTGCATACAAACAACCAATTTGCTGTTCTGTTTTTTTTTTTCTGTTTTGAAATCATTCAATATTTTTTGTTGTTGTTGGTTTTTTTGTATGTTTGTACATTTCAGTTTATTAACCTTTCTTAATGGTTTAACGGTATAATTGTGACGTCACATTATAAAATAAATAAATTGTTGTGATAGGGTAGGAACATTAATTGCATTGATTTCTTTGATTTTTATTGTTTTTGTTGCTGCTGCCCTTGTTAATGTGATTATGAATATGTTGTGTGTTTAGTTATTGTTTTTGTTATATTCAATAAGTTGTTCTTAAGAAAATTTATTTTTCTTAATTGTTGTTTAGCAGACATTTAGAATGTTAAATAATTAAAAATAAAATTAAGAAGTAAACTTACCGGTGGTGGTGTTCTATACTGCTGTGAAGGTCCCAACTGTGGACTATAAGGTCTGGGTGGTGGTGCCCAACCACTCTGTTGACCACCGTACGGCGACTGATGTGGCGGTGGTGGTCCACCATGTTGAGGTGGTCCTGGTGGACCACTTTGCGTTGGACCGCCTGGAGGCTGTGGTCCTCCAGCACCCGGCTGTGTAGGTGCTTGTGATTGTTGAGGTGGCGGCTGTTGTTGTGGTGGTGGCGGCGGTTGCTGGGGATCATAACTGTTCGTATACCTATGTTGGGGAGGAGGTGGTGGATGCGATGATTGCAACAATGAATTTAGGGTCGGTGTGGGACCTTGTGGTGGTTGACCGGGTATATACCTTTGGGGTGGTGGCCGACTCGGTGAGCCAATGCCACCGGGACCACCACCAGGTGCAGATTGTTGAGGTTTACCACCTGGTGGTGGTTGTTGCATAGGCGAGTGACCATAACGATAGGGATCCATGCTGGGATCTGTATGATGATAACGTCCATACATGGGATGATGACCACCAGGTAGTGGTGGTGGTGGACCACCCAAGGGACTTTGACCATATTCAACACCCTCTTTGCCGGGATGTTCACCTGAGGGCGGTGGTGGTGGTACTCCTGGTCCACCTGGTTGTTGATGTGGTGGCATATGTTGTGGATGTGGTGGCTGCTGATGCATGTGATAGTGTGACATTACTGGATCACCTGCAGCACCACCACCAGGTGGTCCATAAGGATGTGTTGGCATTTGTGCCGTTGTATCATTGCCATTATTTGGTGTTGGTGGAGCACCTATACCTGCTCCCCCCGCTGTTGATGTATTGGGTGCTCCCGGTAAATTGCCACCCGTCGCACCGCTATTATTACCACCACCACCTCCGCCTCCCGTTCCCGAACCTCCTCCTCCTCCTCCTGCACTATTGGCCGTTGTAGCTGTTGTTGTGCCACCAGCTGCTGAAACCGCACCGGATCCAGCACCACCCTGCCCTGAGGGTGATTTTATTTTCTCATTCATTACTTGTTTAACTCAATTCTAGTTAATTGGTCTTCTTTTTTTAGTTGCAGCTTAAAATAATAAGAAATATTGAGAAAAACCTCCTTCTCTCCGCTGCAACTTTAGTTGAGTGTAATCTGGAATAAGAAAGGAATCAAAATTTACATTATTGAAAGGTTATTATAAGTGAAGTTATTAAATAAAAGTTATAAAGCAATAAATAGATAAACTACTTTTTGTGTTGGGTAATGTTTCGGATGGACTTATATCGAAACGTTAAAGTCGTGACTCTATCAGGAAAAAACTGCGAAACAAATTGCAGTCATTCTAAAGGAAAAAAGTTCAAACTACAAACAAGGAGAATAAACGCTTAATGCGTTAATTTGCAGACATGAACACCCTACATCAAACGACCCAGAATGTGGGGTCTAGTTATTGCTCCAAATTTGCATAAAACAAAGAAATATTGCCTGACTTCTAAGTATTAAAGGGGTATCAGTTCTGAAACAAACTATACAGAACTATAGATTCCATACCAGCCTCGACAGGGTATTGTCAATTAGAGTCTTTGTAAGTAAGTGGGTTAGTAATATACCAGACTTATGCAGGTTCTGCGAAGATGTACTATAGGAACAAGAGACATGAGTATATAATTATCAACTGTTCTAGAATACAAAATCTCAGTTGGAATGGTTATATGATGAACTGGGTGGAATTGATTTACTCGACTCTACTAGGTTTTATCTACCATGTTTTATCAGAGAATTTAGTCATTTTCGGCAGGTTTTATAGGGAGATTCAGATTCTATTACGTTTCTTTCTTTAGGGAATTGATTCGCAAAAACTTTTACATAGAACCTCTTTGAAATCAACCTATTTCCAATCCTCTATTCTATTTTTTATATTATTTTACGAAGGGAATCACAATGAACATTATATTCTCCTAGCGGAGTTGCACCTCTTTAAGGTGCATAAATGTTAAACTAACCTCCCCATTACATTGGTGTAGGGTATAACAAATTGCAAAAAGAAAAAGCAACAAAAATTAAAAATAAAATAGCAAAAACATGAACCACAAAAGAATTAATGTAAAAAAAACTAACAAAAGGAAACAAAAACAAAACCTGCACAAAAAACCAGCAATTGACAACGAACGACAAAGCTAACATAGAAATAAAAGAATTTGCAAAATAGAGAATAGAGCAAAAGTTATAGAAGCGAATAGCAAAAGGGGAAAAAATTAAGTATAGAGACAGAAAAGCAAAAACAACAAAAAAAAGTAAAAAATTAATTACAACTACAATAAATATTTATGAAACTAAACCCAGCAAACAAATTCCAATAAATTATACACACAAAAACAACAAAAACTAAAACAATTATTTTACATACATTTTACTAAACATAACTTTTACATTAAAATAAATTAAAAATAAAAAAATGCATACGATGAACAAAAAAATTACACAAACAACATGCTGCTTTATTCTCTGCTTTACACATTCACTCACTTTCTACTCTTCTCAAATCCCATTAACGTAAAGCAACGTAATCAAATGTACTCTTCTATGTACATCTCATCTAACGAACGAACAGAGGTGGTAAACGACAAACAAATCGAAAACTGACAACGAAATATTGAAACGAAAATGTACACAAAGAAGGAAACGAGATGTAGCAAGAAAAAGAAAACAGAAAATAAATACAACAAACACATACACAACTTAACAACACAAAACGACCGACCGACTAAAAGACAGACGTATAACATCACAAAAACAAAACGTATATACGAAGAATACAGCACGAAAACACGATTAATACACAGCAGTAGCAGCAGCAGCACCAACTAACCAACGTACCAACTGGCTGACTCTGTCACACATTCATTGTTTTCAAACAAACATTTAAAACACAAACCGACACATTACACTTTCGTATAGTATGGCTGTGACATTCCCTCTTCTATATAGAGATATATTGTATATGTATGTTTGTAATTATATTTTATTTGATGATTTCTCACTAATAATGGATACGTACTTACATACATACAACTGCTGAATTGAGGAGCTTCTGGCATTTAATATTTGTGCAACGCGAAAAAATAACAAATAAAAAAAAACTTAAAGGATTTTATTTATACAAGAATTTTTTCTTTTACATTTAACTAAAAATTAACATTTTTTTTTTATTTCTCACTATTTATTGTGATTTTTAACACGTTTTATTTTTATTTATTTAATAATTTATTATAAAATATTTAAAAAATAAAACACAGCGCTTTGAAAAAAGTACTATTCCCGGACTTTTTACTTTAGATTACTCAAATGAAACTCTTTTACTTGCTGCTGCTGCAGCAGCAAAAACCGTCAGTAGTCTGTCATTTCTATCTTCTCTCTCTCGTTTATATGTTTCCCCCATCATTTATTCGTTTTACTTTATATTCTCTGTATTTTCGTTGTTAACAACAAGCAATTGTAACTCAGTGTTGTATGTAAAAGGTAGTAGTAGGATTTTTCGCCGTAAAATACCACAATTTTTATTGCAGTGTATTTTGAAATGAAAATGCAATTGGATTTGTTTATTTTTTAAGAAAATTACCGGTTGTTAAACTTTTATATTATATCATTGTAAAAAAGATAAAAGAAGGAATTTAATTTTTAATTTAAATTCTAACTTGTGGAAGCATTGTTTGATATTTAGTTAAATTATGTTGCTTACAAAATTCAATGGCCTATCCTGGTTTAATATAAATCCAATTGGACCTCTTTGTTTTTTTATAGTAGAGGCTAATACATATGTTTCTCAATAATTAAAATCAACATTTTAAAAATTGGACGAAGATAAGGCAAAAGTTTTGAATTTCAATTTTAAAATGTCTATAATTCGGAAATTATAAAAGATCTTGCGAAGCAGATCGGTTGGATAATAAAAATCTACACGCATATACTATTAGTCTCCAAAGCGCCGCAAGCGGGCAATAATGTGGTCTGTTTTCCATACATAAACTCGAATACTCCTTGGCCACTTACGTAACAAATATTATCTCGATCGGCTCAGCCGTTAAGAAGTGCCAGACTAATTTCAAAATTTCGATTCTGCCCCACTGTGGATAAAGAAATGGCTCGAGCAATGTAATTTCATTAGATGAACAAACGATGCAAACAGTTCTGGAAAACTATGCAAATTTCTTTACAGAATTTATTTTGATTCCAGCACGAAACAATAGATAGAATTGACTTTCAGGGTAAAAACAACATTTGTGTATTTGATCCGAAGCAAGAACCTTCTTTTAATTAAAATTATATTAAACATTTTATTTAGATCATTAACTGAATACCATTTCGGACGAAAGTGAAATTTTTTCTATATTTTGCTTCTTTAGTAAATGAAAAGGGGAAATTCTTTCGGAATGAAACCACTTTCAGGTTTTAAAGTGGATGATATATTTCTTATTGTACGAATAGAACAAGGTTAGAATAGGCTTTAAATTTCCCTATTTCGATTCGAATGTTAATGCTCTCGAAACACAATGTACTTAACAAAATTTTTTATTTCGAAGCAAGTTACAGAATGTTGAATGAATTTTCAAAATAATGGAAAAAAGATGTTGTTGAACTTAGTGGAAAACGCAAGAACTACTTGCTAAGACCAATGTTGTTAAGATCTTATTGCAGTACCAGAAAATATCGAGAGATACAGTAGTCATATCTATAATCAAATAAACTATGCTAATAGGTATAAACTGAGTTAGTTAATAAGAAAATATTGTTAAATCAGAATCGGCTAAAAATATTATACCTAACAGTTGTAAAATTTCAATAGTTCAAATCGATAAGTTAGGATCTATCAAACCTTGCGGATTCGAAATTATATAAATCGTTTGGAAATGTTGTTAAGGAGATATTGTTAGTTGAGTACACAGTGGCAATACTCTCGACGAAACGAAATCTGAAGAGTATTATCCAAAAATTCTGAAATCATTAAAAAATAGCTGTGGCAAAAGTAAAACAGGCTAGGCAGGAAATCATGATACTTTATAACAATTATAATAGTGTTCATACGACAATTGGATCTTCGCCCCAGAATGATAGGAGTTATAATAGGACAAAAAAGAATTATCGACCACAGTGGAACTGTTACTATAACAACAGTTTGTTAATATTGTCTTTATGTTCAATCTTTGACAATTATTTAGTCTATGTGCTTTGGTAGAAAAACTATTTTGTATCCATACTAAATTTTTTGTATCTAACTCTGAAACTTTTTCAACTTAGAGTTACCTTAAACGAACATGACACGGGATAGGTTCTGCAGACTGTATACTACCACGAGTATAGCTTTACTTGGGTCCTATTATTTTTCAACTGCTAGAACCGTAATATACCATTTCATTGGGATCAATTGGCCCAATTTAGGACATTCAGGAATACACCCAATTGAATTGAATTCTCTTTGACTGGAGGCTAATTTTTAGGGTTCTAGCGACAAAACGATCAATATGGGGAAAGTTAGGATATGAACATTGGTGACCCTATTAGAAAGTCAGTTCGTCAGTTTTAAATTGACTACCGTTCGAGAAATGGCCTAAACCAAACTATTTAAATACATATGCCACAATTATGATTACAACATTTCCAAGAACTGAAGATTTTACACATTCAAAGTACTGCAGAATTAAACGAATTATTACGAACAATGATATCTATCGCAAGAATAACAAAAAATAGAAACCCGACTAATACAAAAATGTTTCGTTTTGCAGCAAATCTATAGCAAAGAAGAATAAACATAATTCTCATATTAATATGAGTTAAAAACAAAAAAAAACTTGGAATACTTACACATTTAGATCATCACTGTAAATTGTGATTAAAAAAACTCCACATCAATTACGAATGAATACATACATTCGTTGTTCAGCAAAATAGTGTGATTTATAAAAGACGATGATGACAACCACATGCAATATTTTTTACAAATCTACACACACACACAGAGAATATTTCAATGGAAAGGTTAATTTGATTTAATTTATTTAACTTTTATTTGTTTTATATATATATTTGAAAAAATTTCTTTTATTTGTCGTTTTTGTTTCTATATTTCTTTCTTCACTTTATAATTCGTTGTTGGTTTTTGTGGTATTTCTTCTTTTTTTTGTTTTGTTTTCTTTTCAATTTGTTTTTCTTTTTTGTTTTTTTTTCTTTACTTTTTTTTGCACACTACCCACGTTTGTTAGTATAGATGTCTTCTTCTTGTTGACATATAACTTTCTTATAGCATAGAAAGGGATAGCTATAGAGTATGATAAGAGAACTGTAAAATAAAGAGCACAAAGAGTAGAAAATTAATAGTATTGTTGTTTTTGTTTTTTCACTGTAATCTATTACAAATTTTAATGCCGATTTCACGTTATTGTTGTTGTTGTTGAAAATGAACAGAAAAGACAACAGAAAAAAAACTTGTTTCGCGGCCGCTTAATTTTTTTCTTTCTTTTTTTTTACAATTTAATTTCTTTTCCAATGCTTAATTGGAGTAATAGTTAAAATTTTAATTTTCAGCATTAAAAACAAATTGTCATTAATTTAATAATTATAGATTTAATTTTATATTTTTATTTATGCAAACATTTATGGTGTGGCAACCAACGACGTTTCTGTTATAGCTTCTTCTATATATGATTGTTTTCCAGAAGAACTGTGATTTCTGCCGATGTATCTAAAAAAAACTAACGACGACAAAACTGTGGCACCAATACTGTTTGTTGGTTTGGCTGGCTGGCTGGTTGGCAGCCTGGTTGGTTGGAGGTGGCGATGACGTTCAAAAGGAGGCAAGGAATGACGACGAGTGATTTACAGACAAATAATATACACAAATTTATGGATACATGCAATTATTCAATAAGTTTTTTTTTTCTTTTTTTATTTTCTGGCTAAAATTTGCCTGTAATCTTGCTTAGATCATTAAATGATCATATTTCAACGCACATACCACTAACATATAAATTGTTGTTTTATCTTTAAAAAATTCAACAAAATTTCTATAATTGTTTTCTTGTTTCGTCGTCAATATACAATTTTCAATGCACAATTAACATACACAATTTTCAGCAGATCATTCTTTTCCTTTTCTTTTTTTGTTTTGTATAGTTACACAATTTTTACAAAAATTTCCACGGTTTTTAATAGATTTTTTCTTTTCTTTTTTTATATCTGTATATTAATGAAAATTTACACGAACCGTTTGCGGATTTAAGATTTAAGCTTTAGCACCAGCAAACAACTCTTCATCTACTTTACTACCACAACTAGCTACGCTTCGATTTCGGGACACGAATAAAAAATTTTTTGCTTGTATGCAGAGTCTGTGCGAATGAAGGAAAATTTTTTTCTTTGCCTTTTTTCAAATGCAAATTTTACGTCAAAATTACACAATTTTTGTGGGAAATCAGTTTGAGCTTTTCGCTTTAGACTTTAACTTGAGTTTTAACACTTTTTTTGCACTTAATTTAGGGTATTTTATTGAAAATTTTTAATTAATTTTGCACAACGACATGACTCCATTTTTTGTCGAAGCATAAAAGTCCGGCCATTTTTTTTTTGTGATTTTTGGAATCATGGCCGGTCACGAACTGCAGCCAACTTCACTACTATTGCCACTTGTATACAGAAGAAAATTTTGTTTTGATATGGCAACACCAAGAAATTATATGTTATTTTAATGAAATTAATAATTATTATTTTGTATGCAGTCGCTAAAAAATTAGACAACAAACAGAGATATTATACAATCCCATCAGGATTCTAACCTAGAGTTTTTCATAACATCAGGCGTTTGTATCAAATATTTAAAGGTAACAACTTCTACCGCACGACCGACGTAATTTTTAATCGGTCACTAATTGCAGCTAACTTCACTACTAATGCCACTTGCATACAGAAGACATTTTTGGTAAGATATGGCAACGCCAAGGAGAAATTTTAAAATATTTATAATTTTTAAAAATTAAATGTTTTTTTTAATTTTATTATTAATAAAAAAGTAAATTTTTAAGTTATTTTGCATTTTTAAATGTAATAACTAACTTCTTTCATTTCTTTTGATATCAACTCTATTTGCTAGAGCAGCCATAATGTGAGAAATTTAAAAAATTGCCTTTTTGATGTCAATATCATACCCAATATACATACATTAATTATATATTTTATTATTATTTATTATTTATATATTTATAATATTATTATTTTTATTATTATTATTATTATTATTATTATTATTATTATTATTATTATTATTATTATTATTATTATTATTATTATTATTATTATTATTATTATTATTATTATTATTATTATTATTATTATTATTATTATTATTATTATTATTATTATTATTATTATTATTATTATTATTATTATTATTATTATTATTATTATTATTATAGTTGTAAGGTGTTCAGAATTTCTAATATCCTAAAATTGCGAAATCTGACATTGTGGACCAATGTGATTTTTGGAATCGTGGGCGGTTACAAACTTCATTACTTTTGCCACTTGTGTACTAAGGAACCTTTAGGCACAGGGTATACAGAGGCGTCACAAGCAAAAAACTATTTCCCTCTTTTTCGCACAAAACGATTTCAATGATTTTTTTAGCTGTATTTTATATACCTCTTCTCACCAAACAATTTCAAAATCAAACAAAAGCTGATTTTAGACTTTTTTAAATGTCAAAAGTGACACCTCTGTATACTTTGTGCTTTGGGTTAGATATAGTTTAAAGTCATTAATTTGAAAAATTTATAACAAATCATTCTTTGGAAAGCAACTCTATTTGCTAAAGTAGCCGTTTTGTGAGAAATTTCAAAATTTTGCCCTACGCTGCATTAACAAACATTGTGCAACGTAAAGTTATTTTAGAACATATTTAATAGTTTATTATTGCTTTAAAATTCCATAATATTTTGTTTATAAGTTATTTGTAGTTTAGTTTAATAATTTTTTTTATTGCTTTTGATAACTTAACATCTGGCAACTTTTTTTGTTTATTTTTGTATTTCAAAACAATTACTCATTTTATTCTTTACTACGCTCTCATACCTAAATTGTGTGTCTCTCAGTCAGATTAAACAAAAGAAAAGACGAAACATCGCTAAATATTTAAGAAATTATTGAAAAAAAATCCAAAAAATTTGGTTTACATAGAGCAAAAAGACCATGTATCAGGAATATTTAAATCAATTACAACACACCATAAACCCCTTATCCACAGATGAACTGAAAGATCTACTTAACAATGATGAAAAACTCGATGAAAAGATTGACGCAGTTTTGGAAATTTTAAAGGCCCAAAAAGACAGTCTATTCACAGAAAATCGTTCCAAAGCGGAGCGTAACATAGAAAAGGAACCACTTATAATTGAATTAAAGGGAAAAGTTGCTGAACTCAATGACGAAGGCAAGCAATGCTGTGAAGCGGTACAGGAAAAATTGGCCCTTATTAAGGAGAAATCGGGTGGAGTAAGTCAAGAAACTGCTTTAGCTCTGCTGCAGACAGCAGCCGCTGAAAGTGAAGAGAACTCTGAGGCTATAGTTAAAAAATTCACAGACAACGAAATCACTGTAGAAGCCTTTCTGGAAGAATTCTTGCCTGCACGCAAGATTATGCATTTACGCAAACTAAAGGCTGAAAAAATGCAAGAACTAATGAGACGTCAGGCTCATTCTGGGCCAAATCCAGCACCACGGAATATGCCTGGTATTGGACCAGCCTATAGCAACATACCCTCAAGTGGTTTCTATCCGGCACCACGTCCACCTTACGGCAGCGGTAGTGGTGTACCATATCCTATGGGACCCATGATGCCGATGCCACCACCACGCCCTTATTAACTGCCAACAATTTAAATACTTTTTGTTGACCTCATGATAAATAAGCGTACAAATCATTAGATGTTTTGTTTGCAATTTGTAATCAAAATGCCCAAGTCGAAGATGTTAATGTGATGGCAAATCTCTTTTTTTCTAAATTTCAATGGAAATTCAGTTAATCTATTTACTAAATATACGAGTCGATGAGACACCACTACTTACAGGACAGTTCTATTTTTTCTTTGGTTTCGTAAATTTTTCTATCTCCTATAAAAAGTTATTTTAAACAAATATGATTTATTTTATTTACACTACTCTTAAATATATGTATATTAAAGTTAATCGTTTGTTATCGAATTAAGTATTTTAAAATAATAAAAAAACGTAGCGTTTAAAATTAAAAAAATAATAGTTATTTATTGCTTCTTAAAATCTGGGTATTTACTTAATAATTCCACTTGATGTCAAAAATGTTCGAATTTGTATGCGAATTAACTTGTAATTTGTATAAAAATATCGTTAAACATTTGGACTTTGGTTCTGTACCGACATCATAAGTTTTCCATGACAAAAGCACGAACTAATAGATTTATTAGGTCACTCTATTGAGAAACTAGTACCATTAACGCGATCATTCTAATCACTTACAATTTTCAGTGTAATTCCTAAATCGAAATACTTTTTTTCAAATTTCCGCTAAAAAAGTAAAGTACATCGTAGCTTTGAGTTTTAAGTATATAATGTAATTAGTTTTATTCATTACTACATATAAAATATTTGCGAAATAAACCGAAGCTTTAATAATTAGAAGTACATAAATTTCTATTCTAAAAAGATCTAAAAATGTTATGCTTTTTAAAATGCATAGTTAATACTAGTAGTAAATATGAAAGAAAAATATATATTCGATTTTTTCCATAGATTAAAGGTTTTTCGAGAGATAGAAATTTTATTTATTTTTCTTGCCGCCACCTTTACGGGGATGTATAGCTTCTGGAGCAATGGTAGACTTATGATAACAATCATTGGAAATACGATCCACAAAGTATAAGGCCAAAATCGAAAATAAAATGCTAAAATCAGACAAAATTACTTATTAAAACATATTTTTTGGTATATAAACATTTCCGCAATACTTACCAGGTGGTGGCACACACACGATGCACTACACCGGCTGCCAGGACAGACATTATTAAACAAATCAGTATTTCGGGAATAAATTTCGAAGCAAAATCATCACCAAACACTAACATTTCCACATTCGATAAAGAGGTTAAACTAAATAGAAAAAGCCAAGAGCTTACAAAACCACCAAATATAGTAGTCAATTGAGTAGAGGTAAACCATTCGGCATAGAAGCGTAGAGTGCCGTAAATAACTAAACTTAAAATGCAAGAAATTATGGCGCTACCAAGATGGGCTTTTGGGTGCACCGGTTCTGTTAATATACAACAAAATGTAAGAGTTTTTAAGAAATTTTTTCCCATAGAAATGTTAGGAATACTTACTTTCAATCATTTTAAGAATTTTTACGTTTGTTTCTTTGCTCTATAAATTTTCTTTCCTCAATATTTATTGTATGATTCCTGCTTTCGGAATGTTGCCGTCTGGCTGCTGGATTTTGTCTTTTATCCGGCACTTTAAAGGGAGTTGCTTCTTCAGTATTTTCTCTATGTTTTTTGCAAAAACCCAACGCACATAAAATGACAACGACAACAATTAGTGGTGTAATTAGGCCCATCTGGTGGTGTGTAACAAAATCTTTGTTGTTAAGAAAAAATTTGATTAAAATAAAGAGCTGCCAGACGTATCAAAAATGTCAATGGTTTACTGTAAGTGTTACCGGTGTTGATAGAGATGTTATATATTTTTAAAATAAATAAAAAAATATAAAAAAGGCTGTCTTCTTTCGTTAAAACATATATTTGAACTGCTCACTCTTTTGTTGTTTACTAATCAAGGATGATGGAAATGGGTTATGTCATACGGAAAAACATATGCGGTGTGATAACACAATTATGAATCGTATACATTCGGAACTACATATGGATAAAAAAGAATACATATGCAAAATACATGTCCTCTAATACCACCTTAATGGATCTGCTGGCTACCATGTAGGATCTGGATCAAATAATAAAAATAATTTTTTTAAGGTTTTTCCTATTTTATTGATATTTCACGTAAAGGAATGATAATTAATTTTGATATCATGTAAAAGCTCTTTGAGAGGCGCTTTTAATGACGTATTACAAATTAAAGTTAAAAAGAAAAAACAAATTAAAATGTTATTTAGATTATTAAAGATTGTATTATAAAGATTACACTATGCGGCAAAAATAAATACCTGGGAAAATATAGGCCGATCATTATAAAACTTTGTGAAAGGATTTGTTTTTAATTTTTAAGAATTAATCAAATTCTATACATATTTTTTTAATTTTTAAATATTTTTTTCCATCTGCATAATTTCTCACACAACTTTTGTGCTTGCTCTATTTTGTTGTTATAAATTATATACTAAATCCCACTTTTTATCTCTCGGATTCCGTTTTTATTTTAAATCTTTGAAAATTTAAAAATTAAACTATTTGAGAACTTAGCAGGCTTACAGTCGATTTTATGCCGCCGCCGATATTTATAGTGTTAGCGGCCGACGTCGTTAATATTTGTAGGCGGAGGGCTCTGAACAGCAGGTTATTACGATTCCTGCACAATTTTCTATCTGCTCGATATATTTTCCAAATTAGAATTCTAAAATAAATTGAATTAAAAATAACAAAATGTTAACGCCGGCCCGTTTAATAAACCCACAACTGCTGAAACCAACAACGTTTAAAAGAATTGGTAAGCTTAAATTTGAAATTAATTGTTACAACACAACTCTAGCCAATCTCTTCCAAACTAGTCACGTTCTCTACAAAACCCCAACCAAAGGAACAATATGCCGGCAATACCGCCAAATCTTCAACAACAAACCATAATACACCCGAGCATAGAAAACCTATTGCACCGCCTACTTATCGTTTTATATATCCGGAATTTCTGCCCGATCCCAAAGTAGAATGGCGTAATCCGGTTAGAGAAAAATTGGAAAGAATGGATATGATCGATAGACGTACCCAAATAGAAATACCCGAATTCTATGTTGGTTCCATAATGGCTGTGACTAGCACAGATCCTCATGCGGCTGGCAAAGTTAGTCGTTTTGTGGGTGAGTTATTGAAAGACCTAAAGTTTTTGTTGGATTATTTCATTTTGTTAATTTACAGGCATTTGCATTTTGCGTGAGCGCTGTGGCCTTAGAGCCCGTTTCATTTTACGCAACGTCATAGACGAACAAGGCGTCGAAGTTATGTATGAAATGTATGATCCCTCTATACAAAAAATTGAGGTATTGCGCTTGGAAAAACGTTTAGATGATCATTTACTGTATTTACGCGATGCTTTACCCGAATACAGCACCTTCGATGTTAATATGGAACCTGAAATAATGGAGGAAGGTGCTGCTGTACCCATAAATGATGTGCAAGTACGTTTGCGTCCACGTCCCTGGTTGGAAAGATGGGAAAGACAAAATCTTAAGGGTGTTTCAAATGTCGATGAATATATTAATGAAAAGAATAGACGCAAGGCATTGGCACATGAGAAACCTTGGGAGAAATACGATTTAATGAAACAATATAGAGCTACCATACCAGAGGATGAGCAAAAGGAAATATTCGCTGAAGTGTACTCACAATTGCATCAAATGGAACTGCAGCGTAAGAAGAACAAACGTAAGAGGTCTTTTGTTAAGCCAACAAAATTAGCTTAAACTAAAAGGAATTAATGTTAAATTCAATTTGTTTTGAACTAAAAGTTGTTAAAAAATAAAGTTTCCATATAGGATTTTATAGTTAACAGGAGGGAGATTTTATTTAAAAAAGAAATTTAGTGTTTGGAAAGAACATCAACGATGTTATATTGCAGATATTTTGACTCAATATTCGTACTCAAACTAAAAAAACATTCGATTAAGCGCTTTTTTGAAACCTCTATATTAACGAAATGATTAAGGTCTTTAGTTTTCAAAACAAATCGATTTTTGTTAAGAAATATAGCATTATTTGAATAATTTAAATACATAAATTAGAATTAAACTTTAAACATTATTATTTAATAGAGGTTTTATTAAATAAAATCGCTTTATTATACAATTTTTATGCACAAATAGTTATGAATGGTAGAGTACAGAAAAATGATTTTAAATATTTCTTACAAATTCTACTCTGAGCTTTAAAAACTAATACACACGATACTTATAGAAATCAATAAAGGATATGGTTACATTCCAACTAATAATTAAAGTGATTAAATATAATAAAAATATAATGGGCAAAGGAATGAGAATTAAACGTGTGTTCTTAAGATGGGGTATGCCTAAGAAAGAGATAAATTTAGTTATTAAATATTGTTAAGTTTTAAAACAATCAAAAACACTTACAATTGTAGCCCAAAAATGAGATGTAAACATAATAGCTCAAGCCTAGCAACCAGAACGTATTACCCAATAGACGTGAGATAAACCAGGGCTGACTGATCAACCAATTGTAGAAGAATAGCTGCAGGAAATGCAATAGCATTAAGGGCGGGAAGAAGGCATTCAAGTGCACATCGAAGGCATAACCCCACTCAATATCGGGCTCTAGATTACTCGTTCTCAAATAGCGATTCGTAACCAACCACAAAAAAGTGGCCACCACAATGCCGGCAAATATGCAATCGACAAAAACCACATAAAATATAAAGGATATACTTTGCCAGATGTTTAAGCCCAAAACCCAGGCAAAGCCTAAAGAGGTTACTGTAACAAATAGGAAAATAATGGAATTTAAAAATCCTTTAAATTATGCTTCATACTACTTACCACATAAGCATACAACTAACAATACTAAAAAGGCAGGGTCGTCTCTAGCAAATTGTGATTTTGTTTCTACAACAAACCAAAAATAAAGGAAATAGTCAGTTTTAATTTCCTCCACAACTTACGTTTTCTATAATTAAAATTCCTATAAACTTTTTGTGGTGCTATAAACAAATAGATCATTTGCCACAGAGCAAACTCAAAGTCCATTTGATTAAATTTTAATAGACGTCTTAGATATTTGTAGCTTTTTGTAGTGGCTGAAAGACAATCTTTGCGAGCATTGGCTGGTGGTGGCAATGGTGATTGACCTCGAGACGCTGTATAACTGGACACCACTGAGGGTGTGGGTGAAGTCGATTGTTTCATTATGTAGGTTTTACGTTTAAATTGTAGAGAAACAGTTAAGTTTTTTAATATATATTAAAGTTAATTAAGCATTATTTATTTATTATAAACAATTAGCGAAAGACTTGTTATTATTTCGTAAAATTCTTTTAGAAATTTTCAAGAAGTTTTTAATCGCAAAAAAATAACAAGAGTTGACACATCACTCAAAGTATTGTTGACAGCTGCAGTAGAAATGAGAGAACAGCTGTTTGGGAAGTGTTTGGAAAATTAGAGAGGCCATATTTTTCTTATTTTTAAACTAAAGGCAGTTAGTTATTTTAGTTATTTATGTAGCAAGGGTTTGTTTTTTAGATAAACATAATACTTTAGTTAAAGTTTAACAGCTATTTAAATGTTTATGATATAATTATTGGCCTTTTATTGTAGTTTATATAAAAATTATTTTACATTTACTGCAAATATATTGGCAGCATCTGTGAAGAAAATATAAATACTGAAAAATCTGGTAGCCTTATAAAGAAAAGCAAATGGAAAGTATTTTAATAAGGTGGCCGCCCCGTGTAGTCTAAAAGCTAATTATCATTTTTTTAATATAAAGTTTGACATTTTAGAATTTACGAGATCATATAAAAAAACATTACCAAATTAACTGCTGAGCTTAAGCATACACCTATATTCATAAGTTTTGTTTAGTTTATTTACAAAAATTTTGGGGAAAGTTGTGTTGCAGTATTTATTTAAATTCACAACAACTAATAATTCCAATTAGATAATACTGTGGCTGTTTATATTTCTTTATATTTTAATTAAATTTCAAACAAAACACACTATATAAACTAACATTTTTGCGGCATCGTAATTAAAAAAAAACACTAATTTGCATGTTAATTGCAATTTAGTTCTTTAATTCAGTGTGTATTCGCTGCAACAGATGAGTCAGTTGAATTCAAGTTAAAAACAACAATTGTAAATATTCCATCTCCTTTATCAACATCATTAAGATGTCGTCTAGTAATCCGGTATCAAACGGGATAACTGGTTCCGCAAAAACCCCCACCATTACTTATATTACCGAATTGCCACCATCGAAGAGAAGAGAATTATGCGAACATTGCGATCAAATTGATGTATGGATGCAAATGGCTACAAAGATGGGGTTTAGCGACAATGATATAGAGGTTGGTTTTTTTTAAAGAATAAAATATAATTTCTTTGTTTTTACAAATTTACATGCATTAGTATTTAATTTCTAAGATTTAAAGCGGGGAAATTATTGTATTTATAATTGTGTGCGCAGTTTGGGGAATATCAATTAAATTTAGATATTTTCTTTGTTTTTGAAAAAGACAAGTCCTTATGGTTTGTTTATAGGTTGTTGTTTTTATTTAGACGCATTTTAAATTAGCATTTTGTTTATTTATTTACTGGACTACCTCACTTAAAATAATTAAAACTTAAACATCTTAATATTTACTGGATCTAGCTAAATAATAATAAGTGTTGGGAATTTTTATCCGGTATTTTTAAATTTTTACAATTGCCCTTTCGATTATATTATTATTTTTTCTTCTTCTAACTAAAACCTTTTTTATTTTGCAAAACCTTATTTAAGTTTTCCATAAAAACCGCTTTTTAAATAAAAACCAGTATTTTAATTGGGTCTTTTAAGAAATGTTTTTTATTTTCTTTTCACAAGCACAGAAAAAAATAATACATAACTAGAATGAATTTTGTAATAAATAAATATCAAAAATAACATATTATTAATTAACAAATAATACTAACAACTGATAAATTTTACACAGATCAATTCACTCCACTTGTTCTTTTAGACCATTAAAAGACGTATTCGAATACCTGGCACCTCACCCACCGGTGAACTGTTAAAAATATGGGGTGGACAATATAATCATAAAATTGTGGAATTATTTGGTGTGTTCCATAAGTAAGTAATGCAATTGTATTTCCCCTCATACTAGAAATTACTGCAAAACCATTTTTTCTCCCTCTTTTAGATTAAAAATCTTCCATGGCATGCGTATTATAAAGGATTATGTGCCACCCGAATATAAACTAATGATACCCATTAGTATACCTCGCATCAGTAAAATGTTACAAACAAGTCTTTCCAATAATAATGAAAATTCCGTTAAAATACGCAATGGTCCCACACCCACCTCGTCGGGTGTTGAAACCAACAATATACGTACTATGGTGACAACAGATGATAATAACACTACATCCAGTTCTAGTTCGAACAATATCAATTCTGAACGTAGTCGTTCGGCTATACATCCATCGCGCCAACAGTTAACGAATAATTCAATGCCTAATATTCAGGAGATTACCAGCATTATGCCGGAAATTGATTATCAAGAACTTACCGAAGCCACTGAAAATTGGGATCAAAAACTTGTTTTGGGTAAAGGTGGTTTTGGTACGGTTTTTCGTGGCTATTGGAAGCACACAGATGTGGCTATCAAACAAATTGATTATCGTGGCGCTGAAGGACGTGAGAGTGCTAAGGTACAATTGCAACAGAGTTTAAATGAATTGAAACATTTGCATAAATATCGTCATGACAATATCTTGCCATTGTATGGTTATTGTATAAAAGGTGATAAGCCTTGTCTGGTTTATCAGCTGATGAAGGGTGGTTCGTTGGAGCAGAGATTAAATACGAATAAGTTTCAACCGTTGACATGGCAGCAGAGAATTGATATTTGTCTAGGTACAGCACGGTAAGTTAAAGGATGAGAGATGTTTTATGTATAATATTTAATGATGAGTTGTTGGTTGCAGGCTTTTCTGTTAAAAAATAGTATTTTTATGAAAATAGTTAAATTTTAATGAAATATACAGTTTATTTTCAAAAGTCGTCATTTTTATATTAACGGGATAGTTCACCAAATATTTCATAAAAATACGTTTAATAGACATCCATTAAGGTTTAAGAAAATTTAAAAATTGTTCAGTATTTTTTTCAAAAACCAGTATTTCATAAAAAGTATTTAATAAACAGTATTTTTCTTAACCCAGTATTTAAAAAAAACAGTATTTATTTTTTCATAAACCAGTATTTTTTCTAAAATAACTATTTTTCTCCAAAAACAAGAATTTCTTATAATTTTTCACAGTATTTTTCTGTATATTTCCCAAAAAGCAGTATTTCTTTGAAAAACCAGTATTTTGTCTAAAACAAGTATATTTTCTCCAAAAAATTTTCCAATTGTTGCCAAACTAAACACTAGTTTGGCAACAATTGAAAAATTTTTTGGGCAACACGCCCAAATCAAAAACCAGTATTTTTCAAAAAAGAGTATTTTTCAAAAAGAGTATTTTTCTGACCATTTTTTTTGCTAAAAAAACTGTATTTTTTTAAAGCATTTTTTGGTAAAAACTAATATTTTTCCAAAAACCAGTATCTTTTCAAAAATAAGATCCAATGAAAATACTTTTTTTCTACTGCATTTTTTCAAAAACCTGTATTTTTAGTAAATATTTAGTACATATTTAAAAACAGCGTTTTACGAAAACCAGTAATTTCCCCAAATGACTCAGTTTTTATAATAAATAATATTATTTGTAAATAACTAGTATTTTTGCTAAAAGCCAGTATTGTTCTTTGAAACCTATTTTTTTCAAAACCTGTATTAGTTCTAAAACCACTATTAAAAAAAAAAAAAATACTAATATCTGGTAACTCTATGCCTGAATAGTTGAAATTTTTTTGTACGGCTGATCTTTTGTGGAAAAAATAATAATTACTTTTATTAAAAAGTGTTTTTTTTTACTTGAACTAATTAAATTTGGAATATATTATCTCCTGTTTCAATTAATATATAAAGATTCTTTTGGATAAATTATTTGCTGAAAAATTATAAAAACGTGCTATTTGCCTTTGCAAATTTTGTGTGCTGCATTCCGCCATTTTTGTTCCTGAACTTTTTTTAAATTTGTACATATTTATTTTTTAATAAATACCACTGCAGTCTATTGGAACTTTATGATTTGTGGTTAAGTGGAGTGTGTCTTGTTGCTGGTAGAGGTTTGCTGCTGCTATCTTCTTGCAGTTGAACCCTTTTCATTGATTCTTGCTGTTTTACTTGCCGCCATTTTTGTGTGTTACGTGTGGTGGTGTTTCTGCGGCTGTTGGAGTAGTGCACCTGCCGCCATATTTGTGGTCTGTGAGTGCTGTGCTACCTTGGTGGATGATTGCTCCTACTGTTTTCCTGCTGGTGATTCTACATATATAAGGGTGCTGTTTGCTGCTACACATTGTGTCACTTGCTGCCATACTTATTGTGAGTGGTATTCTGCTTATGGTGTTAGTGTGGATTTGCTGCTGCTGTCATCCTACAGGAATTGTTAAAATACTTTCACTGGAGTTCATTGTGTACTATTGCTGCTGTTAAGTAAAGCTGTTCTTGCTGTTGCTGCTATCCTCCTATTGGTGCATTATTATTATTAATATTGAAGTTTTGCTTACTGGTTGTGAATTATCAACGTGCTCCTGTCTGCTGTTAATGTATTTTACGGGCTATTTAGTGCACTTTTGAATTTGTTTGCTACCAACCATTTTTAAGATGCCGCTTGCTAAAACTTACAAATGTGGTGTTTGTCTGGAAGATATTGCCAAGAATCGAGCCAGTGTCCTATGCAAAAATTGTTCACTGTGGATACATGTTAGCTGTACAGATCTTCAAGAAAAAGCACTCACTTTATTAAAAGACAGTAAGTCTTTATCTTTTACTTGTTCCAAATGTGACAAAAACCCAAATTCTGGTATGGATAAAATACGCGAAGAGGTTTGTGCCATTAGCTCTAAACTTGATTTATTTATTGATAAAGTGGGCAATGATCAAAGATCTATTCAACAATCTCTAATGGATACTGTCGCCGGCTTTCGAACAGAAATGACAACTTGCTTTAAGGATATGAAGGCTGAAATACTTAATTGTAATAAACTTATTGGTTTTATTGACACGTCGACTACTAAAAGAATTAATACTTTAGAGGATGAAAATAATGTCTTATACAAGAGACTCAATCGTGCTGACGTCATTATTATTGGTTTGCCAGCAGGTCTGGGTGACCTAGTGGATCCTATCATTAAAATAGGATCTGTCTATAATATCCCTATCTCTCGCGTCGACATTAATCATGCCTTTTACTTTAAGAATCAAAAAGCTATTTTAGTAAAATTCAATAATGTTTTTTTGCGTGACCAGTTAATGGCGGAGTATTTCAAAACCAGAACCTTAAGAGTCTGCGATGTTATTGGAGGTGAAATTGAATCACGTATATATTTAAATGATCACCATTCCCCAGCTGCTGGCCGGTTAAATATTGTATGTAAGAAGCTTCTCCGTAAGGGCATAATTATTAAATTTAAGATGCTTAATGGTGATAAGTTACGTGCTAAGCTGACCATGGCTGATGGAAAGAACGTGGTTTGCGACTCCGTTGAATGTGCTGCATTACTTAATGAATAAATTTTGGGTATTTCTTTTTGTTACAATATTTCTCTTTATTAATCTTATTATTATATACTTAGCTTAAGGTTGTACTTTTCTAGGGCAAATACTAATATAAATTATTGTTTAGTATGTGGTAGTAAATATATATACATGTGTGTATGTATGTATATGTATGTGTGCATGTATATGTATGTATATATGTATGTATATGTGTATATATATGTATGTATGTGTGTACGTATGTATGTATATATATATGTGTATGTATGTATGTATATATGTATATATGTGAATATATATATATATATATATATGTGTATGTATGTATATATGTATATATATATATATGTAAATGTGTATATTTACTATGTGCAGTAATTTATATTATGTATATTTTGCTTATGAGATGTGCTGACCTTGATTTTGCTATACGTATAGTATTATTTGAAATTGAATTTTTACTTGTAGTTATATTTATGTGGCAACTAAGATAAAGTAATTTTGTTTTTGATTAGAATCTTGAAAATATCTGCTGTTCTTTTCAATATTATACTGTTCTTTATCTCCCTTAATAACATACAGATATTTTTATATGCCTTTCTCATGGTTGCTATATATTTAGTTTTGTATTTTTCTTCTTTTATACTTTATTAACTTTGAACACTTTTGATCTCAATTGTATTACTGTTTATATTATTGTATTTTTGACACCTTTGATCAGCAGTATTTTAGATTGAAATGAATTTTTTTTTATTTGTATTTTTGATTATATGCTTTTATATGTCCTTTATTAATTGTAACTTTTCTTGGTTCCCCATAATCTTGTTAACCAGTGTCACTTGATACCAATATTGGTCCAGCTTTCAGTAGCAAATTGTATATTAACTCTGCTCTTAGTTCTCATGATCAGGAATTGAACATTGGCCATCTTAACTGTCAGAGTATTAGACCCTCATCTAGTTACTCTAAGATTGATGAATTGAAGTACATTTTATATGATTCATTATTTGATATGTTTGCTATAACTGAGACTTGGTTAAAACCTTTTATTTCCTCTACGGCCGTAGGAATATCTGGGTACACGCTCATTCGTAATGATCGACTTAATTCGAGAGGAGGCGGTGTAGCGATTTTTATATCTAAAAGATTGAAGTATAAAGTAGTATTTCAGATCTCTGAATTGGGACTTTGTGAATCCCTTTTTATAGAAATGGACTACAATGGCTCTAAAATATTATTTGGTGTTGTTTATTTACCTACGGGTGACATACTTTCCTTTGAAAACTTTCATTGTGGGTTATTCTTAAAATATGTCAATGTTATTGTCGTTGGGGATTTTAATTGCAATATGTTTGATGTTAGCAAGTCGATGCATTTTCGAGCACTTTGTTTAAGGAATAATTTGTCAGTTCTTCATAATTCTAAACCATCGCATTTTGATGTAGCACATGGATCTACGTCTCTGATTGATTTCTGGTTAGTGAGTAATCCTTCGATGATGAGTTTTTCTGACCAGTTACAATGTGAGCTAATTTCGCACCATGCTCTTATTTTTGCTTCATTTAAGATTTCTGTGGATCGGCGATCTGAGCAGTATATTGAGTATAGAGACTTTAATTCTATTGATTGGGAAGGTATTCTATCTCTTTTGTCAGATTTCAGTAATTCTAGCTATTTTGCTGAATCTGTAGACGATAAATGTTCTCGCCTTTCTTCTCTCTTTGAATCTGTTATGACATTTGTACCTATTGTTAGGAAGAGAATTAGTAATAAAGATAATAATAGTTGGTATGATTGTAAGGATATTGCCTATGCTAAATCTCTCAGTAGACTTGCTTATTGTTCTTATAAGTCCTCCCGTTCTGCGACTAATTGGAAAATCTACTGTAAGTATCGTAACAGAGCCAAGAATATTGTGCGAAAAATGAAAAGGAAATATTTTTCAAAGCTTTTCTCTGGACTAGATACTAGGGGGATGTGGCGTATTCTTAAAGGTGCTGGTGTTCAGGATGATTGTGCAATTTTTGATGGTGATGTGAATCTAATTAATGATTATTTTGTTGGTATAGGTAACGGTGATATTCCTGAAGAGTTTAACATTAATTTTAGTTGGAATGATACTAATTCGTTTTCGTTTAGTTGTGTGGATGAACTTGAGGTGTTTGAGGCTTTAGGAAGAGTGAAATCGCAGTCCATTGGTATCGACAATATTCCTATTAAAGTTATCAAGTTGATCTTTCCCTATGTATCTAGTTATATTCTTGATCTATTTAACCAAATTCTAACCACATCTGTTTTTCCATCTTGTTGGAAAATTGCTCGAGTTGTTCCAATCCCGAAGACGAAGGTAATTCACGGTTTGGACGATTTAAGGCCCATCTCTATTCTGCCATCGTTATCGAAGGTATTTGAACACATTATTAAGGAACAGATTGTTGCATCCACGTTATCTATGTTATATGATGATCAATACGCGTTTCGTAAAGGTTATAGCACATCTCTGTTGCTACTCAATCTTACTGATCATATTAGGAGAAATATTAATGATGAGAATTTAAGTGTACTAGTTTCCCTTGATCTCTCTAAAGCCTTCAATTCAATCTGTTTTGTTACATTAATAAATAAACTTAGGGATGAGTTTAACTTCTCTTCATCGGCATGTAAACTTATACTATCATATCTCAGAGGTAGATCTCAATTTGTTCAATATAATGGTCTTACTTCTTCTTTACGCCTTCTTTTTTCTGGAGTTCCTCAAGGCTCGGTTTTGGGGCCTCTCTTGTTTATTTTGTATATTAATGACCTCCCACGTAGTGTTGACTCTACTATGTGTAAAACCTTTATTTTTGCTGATGACGTTTTTTTACTTTTTAATAACAATATTGAATTTAGCGATGTATTGCGTGAGAATATTAACTATAATCTACAGCGTGTTGCTGATTGGACTATGAACAATTCATTGGTTGTTAACCCGTCTAAAACAAAGGCCGCCTTGTTTGGACCTTCAAGTCGTTTTTTTCCCAATATGGAGATCACTTTAGGGAATACTCGCATAGTTTTGGTCGAGAATATAAGATGTTTAGGAGTGATTTTGGATAGCCGCCTTTCTTTCGAGAATCATATTGACAATTTGTTCTGCAAAGTTTTTGGTATTTTGCGTAAGATATACTCGATGAATTTATACTTACCTTTGCGTGTGAGATATAATTTGGCTCATTCTCTATTGTTTTCACAAATTTTATACTGCATTGAAGTTTATGCTGGTACATTTGCCACCCTATTTAGGAGGATAAACCGAGTATCTAATATGATAGTTCGTTTTGTATATAATATTAAACGTTATGAGCATATTTCTTCCTTTGTAAATCTTTTCCTAGGTATGAATTTTGTTAATTTTGTAAAGTTTAAGAGTTTATTGCTTTTTTATAAACTTGTTAAGTTTAATTTGCCTATTTCTCTACGTAGATCCTTTCGGTTCTCTCGATCCACAAGAAATCCGCAAATCTGTATGCCGAGAATATCTTCATCTGTTTTGGGAAGGTCGTTTTTGGTCCGTATTGCGCGGTTGTGGAATGTTCTACCTTACTCGTTGCGTATTTTTTCTCATTCCAATAATGTATTTCGTTTAAAACTCATGCAGTACTTCTCTGGCACTACTTCCTGAACTGTGTTGATCTGTCAATTATAATTTTATTCGTAATATTTAAAATAGTAACTAATGACATATGACTCTGACAAAAGCTTCTATTGATATGAAAATTGAAATGATCTGCTGAAATTTGTTATTCACTGGGGTAAATGAAATGATGTATATGTTTTATATTTCTTTGGTATTGATAATTATTTTAGTTATTTTATTGATTTATACTATATATATATATTTGTCAACATTATTATTAATTAAAATAATTTTAAATATTATCATACCATTTTATTTCTCTTTTTAATTTTCATTTATTTCCCTACTATATATACATATGCATATATATACATATATATATATTTTTTTTTCTCGTTTTCTTTAACAATTTTCTCTCTACTTACTAGGAAATATTGCTTGAATTTACCCTGGAAAGTTTTTATATGCTCTCATGTTGTAAAAATGACAATTTTTTTTTTAGTACAGGATAACGTCCTTGTTGTTCAGACTGAGACCTGCATATCTGATGTGTAATGGAGCAATCCCAATATACTTACTTGAGTTATATGTACTTGTGTTTTATTTTATTTACCACATAAAAAACGATAGTATCAATACCTTTGCTTACCCATTAATTATACATTTATACATTGTTAATTATATAGTTAAAAGCTATTTTATGACTCTTATAAATTGTATAAATATTTTTATTTTTTTACATTTATTAAATAGTATTAATCATTAATTGCTTCTGAAAGGGACCTTATGTGTATTTGTTTATATTTTTAATCTTACTGGCTGGGGAGCCTGAATGAATAAATATATGTAACAAATTAATAAATATATATTAAGCATATATCAACCTTTATAATATTTTTAAGGCGTATATTTTACTATGTAATATTGTTATTTTGGCCAAAGTGGCTTTATATTACTGAATAAATAAATAAATAAATAAATAAATAAATAATATGTAAAATATTAAAGATAAAAGCCAGTATATTTTTCCTGAAAACTATTTTTTTTCCTAAAACCGATATTTGTTCTAAAAATCATTATTTTTTACCAAAAAAGTGATTTTTTTTTAAAACATGATTTTATTCAAAAACTATATTTTGACAAATATATTTTTTTTTGTCAAAACCAGTATTTTTTCACAAATCACTATTTTTAGCGCATATTTAAAGAAAACTCTTAAAACAACATTTTACAAAAAACCAGTATTTTATCAAAAAATATCTATTTTACCAATGAACAGTATTTTTTGGAAAATAATTAGTATTTTTGTTAAAAGCCACTATTTTTCTTAAAAATCTCTTTTTCCAAAAACCGTTAACATTTTTTTCTAATAACCAGTATTTTTATTAAAACCCCATTTTTATGTATTTTCCCTAAAAACCATTTAAAAAACTCTTAAAACAATATTTTACAATAACCAGTATTTTCGGCAAAAGGAGTATTTATTTTGGAAAATAACCAGTATTTTTTTAAAAAGCAAGTATTTTTACTAAAAATCTATTTTTTCCAAAACTTAAAAATTTTTTCCAAAAAACTGAATTTTTGTAAAAACTGTATTTTTATCGATAGTCTTTTATGTTTTGACAAAAAACACTATTTTTGAAACCCAGTTTTTTATGTTTCGACAAAAAACACTATTTTTGCAAAACCCAATATTTTCCCCAAAAACCAGTATTATCCGCAAAAATCTATTTTACAATAAAGAGTATTTTTTGGAAAATAACCAGTATTTTTGCTAAAAGCCAGTATTTTTCTTAAAAACCTATTTTTTCCAAAAACCGGTATGAATTTTTATAAAAATCAAATTTTTAACAAAAGTCTATGTTTTATTAAAAAAACCCTATTTTTGCAAAACCCTGTATTTTCTCCGAAAACCTTTGTATTTAGAACACATTTAAAAAAATCTTAAAAAAATATTTTACAAAAACCAGTATTTTCCGCAAAAATCTATATTTTACCAGTGTTTTGTAAAAGCAAGTATTTTTCCTAAAACCCATTTTTCCAAAAGCCGGTATTTGTACTGAAACTATTTTTCTTTTTCAAAAACAAAAAACATATTTTTTGTGAAAACCAGTATTTTTATCAGAAGTCTGTTTTAATGTTTCGACAAAAAATACTATTTTTGAAACCCAGTATTTTCTCCAAAAATCAGTGTTTTAGAACACATTTAAAAATGACTTTAAAACTACATTTTACAAAAATCAGTATTTTTCTTTAAAAATCTCAATTTTACAATAAAGAGTATTTTTTGGAAAATAGCCAGTGTTTTTGATAAAGACCAGTATTTTTCTTAAAATCCCATTTAAAAAAAACCTGGTATTTGTACTAAAAACCAGTATCTTTTCCAAAAAAAATTAAAAAAACAGTATTTTTATCAAATTTCAATGTTTTTTGTTTCGACAAAAGAATTTTTTTTTTATAAAAATACTATTTTTTAAAAAAATTAAACTGATTTTTTTTAAATATACAAATTTTTAGTACAAATACCGTTTTTTATAAAATAAGATTTTAAGAAAAATACTGGTTTTTGGAAAATAAAATTTTTTTTCAAAACAGAATTTTTATTCTCAGAAACTAGTTTAAAAAAACAGTATTTTTTCCAAAAACACTTATTTTTTATAAAAATTTATTTTTTAATCCAAGTCAGTATTTTACCAAAAACCATTATTTTTGTAATCAAACCATGTGTTTTGTACCAAAAATTTAATTAAAAAAATGCTGTTTAAGTATATTTTTTTTCGAAAATAGATTTTTTAAAAACATGTAAAAATCAGTATCTTTTCCAAAAAAAAAAAAAAAAATTAAAAAAACAGTATTTTTATCAAATTTCAATGTTTTTTGTTTCGACAAAAGAATTTTTTTTTATAAAAATACTATTTTTTAAAAAAATTAAACTGATTTTTTTTTAAATATACAAATTTTTTTTTACATTTAATTACCAAAAATGTAATTAAAAAAAATGCTGTTTAAGTATATTTTTTTTTCGAAAATAGATTTTTTAAAAACATGTATTTTTACAAAACTGTAGTTTTCGAAAAACAGTATTTTTCCAAAATCCTGTAATATTTTCATTACAAACTACTTTCTTTGATCAAAACGAACATTAGAAAAAACTAATATTTTAACCCGTTTTTCACAAAAAACGTAATTTTCCTGAAAATTATCTTTTTGTCTAAAAAAACTCAAAATAAAAATTCTATTTTTTATTTTTTAGCGGCATTTACTACTTACACTCTCTGCGTTTGGATAAACCCCTCATACATGGTGATATAAAACCCGGTAATGTTTTACTCGATCAATGTTTACAGCCAAAAATCGGTGATTTTGGTTTAGCCATGGAAGGACCCAATGCCATCAACAGAGCCGTTCAAGTATCGCAAGTTTTCGGTACAAGAGCCTATCTACCGCCAGAGTTTTTAAATTCAAAAAGACTCAGTACACAAGTGGATACCTTCAGTTTTGGTGTAGTACTCTTGGAGACATTTACGGGTCTGCGGGCCATCGATAAAAAACGTAATTTTCTAACCAAGACCATACGAACTCTATTGGAAACACACAATTATAATTTGGCCGAATTAATTGACAAACGTATGCAACTGACACAGCCGGCTGAAGAGATGGTATGTATACGTAGCATTGATTTGGGTTTACAGTGTATAAACGAACGTCCCGAACAACGGCCTGAAATGGAAATGGTTTTGAGAATAATTAACAGTTATTATAGCGGCAATCCTTTTATGCAATAAGTGAAAAGTGGAGGGAGGTTGTTTTTTTTTTATTATTATGTATAGTTTGTTTGTTTTTTTAACATTCCAGTGTTTGTGTTTATTTTATTATTGACTATTTTTCTATATTTTTTTTAATAAAATATAAAAATATACAACTTTTTATTGAATTTGTTTTATGGGTTTTAATTGTACTTATTCCTTTTTTCCAATTTTTAATGTCAACATTTTCTTTCAAATTAAAATTAATGCAAAAAAAATCTTTAAAATATAAATTTTAAACATTCTAGTAAAGCTACTTTATTTGCTATTAATAATAATTTAAAGCAAATTTTTCATACAATTCAAAAGGCTAATTTAATTTAACAAAACTTTATTTTAGTTATAAATTTAACATGAATTTAAAAAATTCAAAATTTTTTAAACGCATACAAATGCTGCGGCGTATTTCAAGAGATAAATTACGCCAAGAAAAAGAACGTAAACGTGTTGAATGTCAATTGGAAAGTGCATTTTGTGAATGTTCGGGTACTACAAATACTGCAGTTTCGAATGAGGAGAATGAAGCCAATAAATCTAATCATTCTATGGAAAATTGTTGTAAAGATAAAGTGGACAAATTGAAAATCAAAAATAAATTAAAATTACAACAGCAAAAATTCTCAACACAACACAATAAACTGTTGTCGAAGTCAAGTAATGAAAATACGCATGTAAACGGTTTGATTCATTTCAATAATATTTGTTATCAAGTTGAGTGCCAAGCTGGACCATGTAATAAAAGTCAAGGTGGTGGTAGTACAGAATCGATGCCGTCTGTTAGGTAAATTTTGAATTTATAATTTGATCGATTTGCAATTTAAGAACATTTTATATATTCAATCTCTTATATGTAAGTTTAGTTAAATGTCAGTCAGACACTGTAATCATTCTATAGTGTGGTACTTTTGTTCCCAACCACTAGAGTTTTTGACACATCAATCTTTAAATATGATGTCGCTTCCAACTCTTTCTAACCTGAGTGTTAACCTTCTTCGTATTTTGTGTAAAGATTGCTCAGATAATTCTCGAAAAGTAGTCTTATTACTTACAGTAAGACGAACTGTTGCAATCATTGGAATGAAAGTATATATCACGAAGAATTGTCTTATCATCTTCATAAAAGATCATCGATACTCAAGAAGCAAGACTGATAGTATCGTCCTCTATAAGAAGACTTTATTCTAAAGAAAACAAAACTCTATGTCAACGTTCACAATAACGAGTAAGTTCCGACAAAAAGTGCTCGCAAACAGATCGACACCAGTTATAACATCTTGAGACTTCTTACAACATTTTCCACAAATTGCATCACGATAATGTTCAGGGAGAAATTTAAAATTCATCTCTTTCGACACCAGAAAGCCCCTTTATATACAAACTTTTGAATATGGAGCTAATGAATGATTCCGCATTTCTATCGACATGAGTTGTCTTTAACATCGGGGATCGAACAGTTATCTATTCATGAATCATTTAAATTGTATTGAGATTTACATCCTTGAATGCCAGAACATGGCGTCTGGCTAAATAAAAATAAATTTTCAGTCATATCGCTTTACCAGAACAAGTGCAGGCACTTTGCTCGAGTTCTTAAGCATTCTATTCTCTAACCACCACAAAAACATCACTTTCGTTTACAACCTCGCAGATGAAATGGCCTTTATTGATTCGGCAACATCGCTCCGAGACGCAGTCGGTACACCAAAATACGAATCCATCAAATATGTTCTTACTCACAGAGAACACACCGTGGTGCGTCTAAACCTAGCTTGACTAAGAAAGGAAAATTTAATGGTGTCACTTTAACAAGATACCGTACATCCATTACCTTTCAACCCAGCACATTTCTCATTCATCCGACACATTTATAGAGAAAAACATACGACGCATTCATTCTGGGTATATGTGTAGGATAAAAAGTCCGTATACCTTTTCATCCATCCTGCATCTTATTCATTTAACATCAACTCCAAACGCTTAGCTCCAAGGTCACTCCTTTAAGGCAGGTATGTTGTCATTTTTGGCAGCAGCACCGAATTTAAACCCAAATATAGATCCACGAGCACCCCGAAGGAACCTCACGGTACAACACAAAGTTCCCACTACAATCGGTTCTTCGCACCGGAACGACTCGGAGTTCAACGAACAACGACCAAGGATTGTCAATCCAGCCACAAGACAAAGTACCGGTTCCCGTGGTACCAGGTCAAATGAATCCAAGGAATAGCCGAGGAGTCAAATGACCACAAGTTTATAGTCCCGGCAGATCAGAGGTATAGGTAGCACCTTCTTTACCCCTGGATTACAATAACATGCCGGATAGATCAAAAAGATGAGAATAACGTGAGTTAACGCCTGCTCTTCATCTTTATTATGACATATTTTACAGGAGTTATTACATGATATCAGATATTGATCTCAAACGCTTTTAAAATAGAAGCGGATTTGTGGCGACCAGAAACAACATTATTGGCCTGATGACATATTACGTTACCCGTACTCTTTGTAGTAGTCTTCAGAATAGATGCATACTTCACGATCATCAAAAGATTATAATATGTAGTATAATCTTATACTTACTCCATCATTCCATGATTGACACTCGGACAACAGTTAACGATCCACAAGCTATTGATCTTTATAGCAGATAACAACTTCTGAGAGTCTCGAATAGGGGGCCAGTTACCGGCCTTATTATCTTTATAGGAAAGGGTTTTGTAGTCACGTTAAACTAACTTAATTAGAATCTGACAGGGCGATAACTTTGGCCTTATTAGTAGTTCATTTTTAAAGAGTCTAAATACATTAATATTAATTTATCGCCGAGTTTATTATTCTTAAATTACAGTGCTACTCGTGGCAGTATTTGTGTTTGTAATTCACGCTATAATCTTATTGGTAGAATTGCCAAAATACTGGGCTTCAAAGTGGTTAAAGAAAACAAATTGTGGAATATTTTGTGGACCGATTCGTTGCCGGGTGTTGAAATCTATAAGAATATGAAAAGATTTCAACAAATTAATCATTTTCCTGGTATGATGGAAATATGTCGCAAGGATTTACTCTCAAGAAATTTAAATCGTATGCTTAAATTATATCCCAAAGACTATAAGATATTTCCCAAAACCTGGATATTTCCCGCAGAGTAAGTAAAGTTTAATAACCAAAATTCTATGCAGAAAAAGTTTAATATGTTACTCTCTTTTAAAAGTTATGGTGAGGCTTTAAATTATGCCAATAATCATAATAAACAAAAAATGTATATTATAAAACCGGATGCGGGGGCTCAAGGTAGGGGCATATGGCTGACAAATGATTTGAAAAATGTTTCGTGTACAGAACGTATGATTTGTCAAACCTATATTAGTAAACCTCTACTCATAGATGGCTATAAGTTTGACTTGAGGGTTTATGCTTTAATAACTTCTGTAGATCCTTTAAGGATATTCGTTTACAACGAAGGTTTAGCTCGTTTAGCCACCCACAAATATTTAGAACCCTCTATGGATAATAGTGACAACTTGTATATGCATTTAACAAATTATTCGGTTAATAGAAGAAACTCCCAATACGAACTATGTGATGACGATGATTGCGGCAGTAAAAGAAATTTTGGTGCCATTAATAATTGGATGCGTCGTCATGACTATGATGCGCAGGAATTTTGGAATAGAATTGATGATATTGTAATAAAGACTGTCTTAAGTGCTTGGCCTATACTGAAACATAATTATCATGCCTGTTTTCCGACACACGATAAGATACAGGCCTGTTTTGAAATTTTGGGTTTTGATATATTAGTTGATTCTAAATTGAAACCTTATGTATTGGAAGTAAATCATTCGCCGAGTTTTCATACCAATGAAGTGGTTGATCGTCAAGTTAAAAGGCCCTTAATAAGAGACACCCTGTCTTTAATCGGTACTGTTTTGGCGGATAAAAGACAAATATTACGTGAGGATAGAAAACGTATCAAGCAGCGTTTGTTAAAGTTTAAACCGGGAAGTTTGTAAGTACTAATATAAAACAAAAAAACCTATAGTTTTATAAAAATCTGAACTCTATTTAGAACTCAAAGATCCCATGCCAGTAACACTATTCCCTTAAACGATAATACTTTAAGTAAGACCTCTCTTGAGCATTGTCCTGTCAGCGCTATAGCACAACAAATCGCTTGGGAAGAAAGTCATTTGGGAA